ATTCCATTAGAATTCCATCAGAATTCCGGCCTGGGGGAAAAGGGGAGGCCAAACACAGTCAGGGATTAAAAACGGAGAGGAAAAAGGAAGATAAAAAACCAGGAGCAGCAACAACCCCCCAGAATTAAAGGCATTGTCCAGGAAGAGGTGCTGACAATCCCCACCCAATTAGGAGCTGCTCTGAAAGGCAGCTAATTACCAGAAATAATTACTAGAGAGAAATCTGTTATGGTTTATCAGTTTCCTCGCTGTTTAACCACCCCCTCCATGCCCATCCCTGCTGAAGATGAATGGTAAATTGTGAAATTGGGGACTCCAAACTGACAGAAAAGCCCTCCTGACCCCAGTTGGTCACAGTGCTGTGTCCTGGCACCAGCTGGGACAGCCAGGGACRCTCCTGTCACCTCTCCCCACCCGAGCCTGGCAAGCTCAAAAGCCCCCAGGATGTCTCTGGTCCTCTGGAAGCAGCATCAAGGGCTCCAAGATGGAAAACTCAGAGCTGGGAGCCATGGAGTTCCTCCCAAAATGGTCCTGCCAGCAGCTTCTGATCTTCCCTGAAGGAGCAGAGCCTGAGTGGGACAGAAATCCAAACTCTGGTCTCGGGTGTCTCACACACCTTTCACACACCAAGGACCACAACACTTTCATCCCCATCTGCTCCCTCCCCCTCCTGATATTTTAAGGTCCCCTGTTTCCACTCAACCACCCCACTCCCTGCCTGAGGGGCACCTTGCTGRCACCCAGGGACTGGCAGCCAAGGGGACACATTTCCAAAACCCTCCTTTCCCTCATGTTCTGTCACTGCTTTTACAGAAGCACTATTTGATTGTCCTGCCCTTTCCCTCATCCCTTTGCATTTTGACAGTCAAAAAGTTTTCAGAGGCAGCCTGGAAAACAGGATGAGAAAATTCCACCCCTCCTCTTCTCGAAGTCCTTCTTTCTGAGCACATGAGTGAAGAAGGAGGGATGGATGGGATATTGGGAAGGAATTGTTCCCTGGGAGGGTGGGGAGGCCCTGGCACAGGGTGCCCAGAGCAGCTGTGGCTGCCCCTGGATCCCTGGCAGTGCCCAAGGCCAGGCTGGACATTGGGGCTGGGAGCAGCCTGGGACAGTGGGAGGTGTCYCTGYCATGGCAGGGRTGGCACTGGRTGGGCTTTGAGGTCCCTCTGAACCCAAACCAYGCCACGATCCCGTGAAAGGCTGGCGTGCAGGTGTCACCCAGGCATGGGGAAGGGGCTGAGCTTTGGCAGGAGCCAAGCAGTTCCTCCTGTGGGAATGGGGCCCTCCAGGGTACTGCCAGCAGCACGGACCAGGYGCCAGAGCTTTGAAATCTGAGGCCAATAAAGGCCATTTGGTGGGGTGATGTTTTCCCCATGTGTCCTCTGGGGTTTAAAGCTCCAAACTTCACACAGAAACTCGAGGCAGCGGCCTGGATTCTGCCTGGAGCAGCTTTTCCCTGGTGAAACACACACCTGGAGCAACTGGAGCTGTTCTCTGCCTCATATGGATCCACGTGGAGCCTCCAACACCCCCGGATCTGCCAGCCCAGCCTGGCAAGGCTCAGTGCCCTCCTTTCGCTCCCCCTCCAAAATCAGCACCTCGGGGTCTGATTGCAAAGGCAGAGCCTGTGCTGGAGGTCACAGCCCTGCAGGAACAGCCRGGGAATGCCCCAGCACGGGATTTCCCTCCTGGATGGGGGACTCCTTAGGGAACAGGGAGCTTTGGCAGGGACTGAGGACACCGCGGCCAGGCCAGTGCCAGCCTGGGGATGGAGCTGGGGACAGAGCTGGGGACAGAAACTGAGGACAGAGACTGGGAAAGAGCCCAGTGRGATGGAGCTGGGGACAGAGACTGGGACAGAGACTGGGACAGAGCTGGGGACAGAGCTGGGGACAGAGGCTGGGGACAGATCTGGGGACAGACAGAAAGCCTGGGACAGAGCCCAGTGGGACAGAGCT